AATCCACGATACTTTAGAAGAGTCGCAATCAGCTCCGTAACAAAAGTTTACAGCTGGATGTTCAGCGTCAAACCAAAAAAAAAACAAAAAAAAACAGTGTACACAAAAAATTCATATTAAAACTATTAATATAAAAAATCTTTTTTTTTTAATTATTCTCAGAGGTCATTCATACATAAATAAATAAAAATATTACGTAGTAGATAATGATAGCAAGTACACATATTTTTCATGTCAAATTAAATATTAAGTTATATTATTAAAACATATTAAACATAAATTTAATTAATCAGTTATTTTCAGAGTTTGTGACTAAAGAATTATTAATAGTCAAGCAGATCTAAATAGATTGTAATTTTTTTTGTTTTCGTTTCTTATTGAATATTAAATATGACTTTCGAAATATACCTTATCTTTTCTGTATAGAGTACACGCCAAAACAAACACAGTACACTTAAGTGCCTCTAGTTTTAAAATGGTCTAAGACCGCAATATTATAAAAAAGCAAATGCATAAATGGAACATATGAAAATATTCATCTAAAACTAAAAAGTATAAGTAAAATATAAGAATGGTATGTGCATATTATTTTGATCCTTATCTGCCAAAAAAGGTGTTTTAGAAATTAGAATTTTGTTCGTTAAAATAGTTGTAGCAGCCTTTCAAAACTACATTCACAAAAATATTTTACCGAAAATTCTCAGACATGATAGTTTTAGTTTTGGTAATAAAAATAGATAAACTGTTTAGTTTAATTAGCAAATTGGGTAAGAATGTTAATTTTAAAACAATAATATTTATTTTCATTACTCTAATTTTACTTATAACATAAGTATTTATTAAAATATATAGGTAACAGTGAGCCAAAATTCTTCGCCTTATTACCCTCGTACCCTTTAAGAGCTTTTTGCAAAATTTCGAATGAAGTATAAATAAACAAATTCACTTTTAACTAATAACGAAAACTAAGGATTTTCTGCATGGATTGTATAAGACTTAAGAAATATTTTAAAATATAATAACAACTAAGTGAATGAAAATAAATTAATTATAAAACACTACTTGCGTAAAATATTTAGTAAATTGACTGAATTGAATTAAAGCCATTTGATATGAATCAGAATTTCGAATTGAATTGAAATCGAAACAATCTTGGAATCAATCAAGATGCTTAAGATCATTAAACTTAATACAATGTCAGTTCGGTAAACGCTTGGGACTTCGGGTGTTGCATAAATAGGGCTAAATTGGTCTCCGAAATTCAGCCACACACTGGCTTCGAACTAGATCCCTTGGGAAGAGGGTGGGGGGTGGTAAAGTTAGGAACTCCAGAGTTTGCATTGTTGGTCCAAACGCTATGACTGGGGCAGAATTCGCGTTGGGATTGAATTGGACATAACGTTTCCGCTATCGCCGAATTAAATCATCGACATTAGCTCGTATGGATGCTATTCAAACTTTGACTTTTTGAACTCAGGAGACAAAGAAATGTTTGAGTACGGTAGAGGTCGATTTATGTTGCATTTTATATTTAAAAATATTTAATGGCATTGATATTTTATCACCTAGTATTTAAATATATTTACAATCTAAATAAACGTAGTTTTATAATATTCAATTCAAACTTATTTCACATAAATACTACTTAATATGAAAGTCGGATGAGGTTCAAAAAGTTCACATAACTTTTGTTTCGTTTTTTTTTATTTAAGCTACTTACGTATGATATTGCTATACTATATATTACTATTATTACTTATTACTGCCTCGGTGGTGTAGTGGCTAGCATGTACGGCTGCACACCCGGAGGTCCTGGGTTCGAGTCCCGGGTCGGGCCAAGTTTAGTTATTGAGTCTTCCTGTATAGTAAGTCTCAGTAACAGCCCGGAGTTGGGAAGTTGGCGGTGTTTCACCCCCGTGCCTCGGAGAGCACGTAAAGCCGTCGGTCCTGCGCCTTAACTCTCACCGGTCGTGTCGAGTGGTCGTCCCACCGGAGTATGAGAGTGATAGGAATAGAGAGTGCACTTGTGTCTGCGCGTACACTTGAGCACTATAATATCTCCTGCGCAGTTGGCTAATCTCATTGAGATTGGCCGCCGTGGCCGGAATCGGCTAGGAGAACATCATCATCATATATTACTATATATTACGATGTATCGACGCCATTAATAATAATTATCAGCACTAATAAGAAGAATTTATAATAATGTGGATTACGTTTAATCATGCAGTGACGAATATTGTTAATGTATACAAATTAAATTAAAATTTAATTGATTATATAATTAATTAATCGTTTATTATTTAAAGATAATATCAAAATTGAATTGCTTTATTAATTAAAATTTCTTTATTGCTTTAATATCCATGAATAGCTGTATATATACAAACCTTATATTTACAGTACGTATCAGTAAATAAGTTAGGTAATTTACTCCTTTACTTTTCACTATAATATATGAAGCCATTCCATTTAACATGGGTAAAGAACGCTATTCATGAAATCACACAGATTTATTTATAACAGCATTAAGCTTTATTTATACTTCTATCCACCTAACTCTACGTGAAGTTGGTCTATAATAAGATAATAGGACAATATAAGTGCTTTTAGAATTATTTCAAAGGCTAACATTTATTACTAGGCTAGAAACAAAAACTTAATTTTTTATGAAGAGTTATGAATTTATTTCTTTATTTTCGTACCTCCTTGTTGGATTAGTTACAATATACTTTTTATATTAGCACTTTATTAAAAATATATTGACCTTAATGCTCAGCACTCAGCTAAAGTATTTAATTTATAAAATTAATTACAAAATGGAGTATTATCTAAAGATATGAACCAAATGTGGTGATAATCTTTGCTTATAACTACGAGTAGCGCCTTATACGCTCTTTCGCTCTGGATTAAGGACTTAGAAATGCATAGAATACACATATGTAAATATATATAATTAATATATATAAAGAAAAAAATATATTTTTGGGTGAGAAACATTCGCGGCCGTACGCAGAACAACTCACCAAGAAGTTTTATCACGTACATAAATGTCTAGGAACGCATATAGTACAATTATATAAAGGAACATTAGATTTTATTCTATATTCATAGAAGGCAGATAAACAGAGGTATCAAATGATCTCAATATCTCTCTAATTGCTATGTTTAATTTTGCATTCAACATGAAAATAAATATTAGTTTACTTTTTGTCATAAATATCAATATATAATAAATTATTTTCATTGATTGATTATTTTCGATAAAGTACGTATTTATAATTTAGAAGGTTAAGCAAATACCATAGAGTCGAGTGACGGACTTTCGCACCAAGGGTTCTCGTTAAAAAAAGAACTTTTGTGTTTCAAAGATATTTGTTATTATAATCTCTGAACAATAAAGGAACTAATTACGTGTTACTATAAGTTAGTTGTATTCAAATAATCTATACATACATACAATAAAATTGTAACTAAGCCGAATCTGTATTATATATATACATATAAATAATAAAAAATAATAAATATATATATATATTAGATATTTTTTGGAAAATGTTACATTGAAATAAACATTATTATCGATACAGAGGCCGAATTTTTAGATTTTTTGTCTGACTGTCTGTCTGTCTGTCTGTTACCGCATCACAAAAAACCACTGGAGGGATTTTAATGAAATTTGGCATGGTGATAGCTCAACATATAGGATACTTTTTGTATAAACTGTGTATAAATTCTTATTTAAGCCAATATTATAATGTACAAGAGTTTGATGGTTTTCTGTTCTTTGACCGTGCTAATCTTTGGAACTAACAGATTTCGAATTTTCACTTTACATTTTATAGCCGATTCTAGCTTATAACGTTTGTTAGCAGCGACAACATAAATTAATTATACAAGTGGAACTACGGGAAAAAACTAGTTATAATATAAATAAAAACCTAAAAAAAACCGACTTCCAGGCGCTAAAATGTAAAAAATAACAAAACGGGTGTTTTCATTAAGAATAGATAGCTAATCAGATATTTTCGAAGTCGGTGGCAGCCAATGCAAAGCAAATCTAATATATTTCGATACGTAAAACACATATTTACTTATGAGATATTCATATATTAAAATATTGTCGGCTGGTACCGACTTTGAAAATATCTGATTAAGTATCTATTCTAAAAGGAAACTCCCGTTTAGTTATTTTTTACATTTTAGTGCCTGGAAGTCGGTTTTTATTTTATGTTTTTTAAGTTTTTATGGACAATTTTTAGTGTAGACGTGATAAGCAGATAATTTGTTAGAAAAAAGTTTTTTAATAACATGTTCAATTAATTAATTTATTTAAAAAAATAACATACATACATAAAAAAAAGATTCCGACGAATTGAGAATCTCCCCCTTTTTGGAAGTCGGTTAAAAAGCAAAATAATTTTGAAAATAATCCCTATATCTATAAGGACTATTTCAAGGTACAGTACTCTAAGACAGGATTAAATCTCCGGCTTGGCTTTGTCTCAGTTCTACATTCAAGAGACTTAAGTAATGAATGGTATTAAATATGCAACACCTCTTCGATGATAGAGAAACAGTTAAATCAATACTGTTTGAAGAGTAATAGAAGATAATACTTTCTTAGAATTACGCGAATATTTGACATTTTATATAAAACTACCATTTCGGATTTTTTCGCGGATTTAAGTTGATATAATTGGTTCTCAACGTTTCAAATGCTTTACTTTACAGCAATCATGGTCACAGGAAAGACTAAGATTTTAGATGACTTAAAGGCATTATATAGTTGTTAAAAATAAATCCACGAAAAAAACCAAAAAGATAGGTTTATATAGTAATAGGAGATCTTCTATCATATAAAAATATATGAAGTATCGAAACAAAATCTATATTTACAGATATTTAAGTACGCACAGTTTCTATACAAAACTGTAGAATGAAAGGAGGAAAAGACGTTTAGTATAAGGAGGGTTTCCTTTTATTATTCTGAACTCTTATCTCTCATGATGATTACAAACACTGTAATCTTGGTTGTGGCAAAATTTCAGCCACTCCTGTCGAGTGTAGCGTAATCGCGTGGCAATAGCATACATTGTCGCTTCCAATGCATTGTTGTATGCACCTGCGAGCTCCCATTCCTCTTGTTCAGAACTGGAACACACGGACCGCGTCTTTTCATTGCAATTGTATTGTACCGTATTGTCTCGTTTCATTTATTCTACGTAGTTTGGTGACAGTTTTTTCTTTCTTAGCTTGTTTATGATGGCATGTTCGATTCTTATGAAGGTATCATTTATATCGCGTAGTATAACCATTACAGAAGTGAATCATGATAATTAAAGAGTATAAGCTAATTTAATTATAAATAAATACGTTTTTATATAAATATAATTGTTTATATAAATAAAATGGTCATGTGTGTAAAAATATATTTAGCATCTGATATTTTTCATTGACTTTTGTTTGTTGAAATATTTATACATAAATGATATAACTCGTTATCAGCTTTAACTTGCATATATTTTTGATTTTATAGTACTTTTATCGCAATTTTGAACACTGCAGTACAAATTTGGTTATAAACATACAATGAAAAGAATTTTTCCATTTTTTTTCAATACTCGATAAATATCAGGGATGTTTGAAATGCAAGAATTTTGCTCCCGTTGACTGCGTTGCTTCCATCCATCACTCAGATATTGCGTGACATGCCCGCTATGTTTTTAATACTTACAATAGCGTTATGCTTTCGTATTTCGCTTTTGATTCTCATGTTTTTGAAGTTTTATTCCATATGTTCACATATCGTCGTCATTATTTCAATCCTTGTTTTCGATAGTCATTAAATATTTTTGTGAATGAGAATTTCCTTGTATCTAAATAATAAATATCTGATGTTTAAAAAATCCTTATTAGTCATAAATATTTTAATATTTCCTAGGCTTTTAGTTCCAAATTCCTTTGGTGTATATCTCTTTTACAAACTAATCCTACCATAGTATATGAAACGTTCAACGGTTGGGCACGCGGGGTACAAGCGGCGGTCCTCTCATCAATCATTCTAATATTGCGTGACGCATCAACTTGTGACCCGTGAGCATTCACAGCACTTCTGTTTACATCCTCATCTGGATTATACTGACCGATCCTAAAAGACTCGGCCGAGGGTTAAGTCAGTGAACATTACGTTAATGAAAACCAATTTTATCCCTCGATAGTATAAGTTCGTTACAATTTTGGGTGTGCGTGTATGAAATTATCAATATGTACAGTGGATACTGATTCTTTTAAATCATAAAATCAAAGCTAGAAATGTTTTGGCTATATCAAATGATATTTGCTACGAAAATTGGGTTAGTTATAATGATAACAGAAAATATTTGGTGAAAATTTATCTAATCTATACCTACTAATATTATAAACAGGTAAAGTTTGTGGGTTTGTGAGATTGTGAGTTTGTGACGTTGTAGGGGGTAATTTCTGGATCTACTGAACCGGCTTAGATGAAATTTGGTAAGAAGATAGTTTGAGACCCTGGGAAGGACATAGGATACTTTGTATCCCGGAAATCCTACCTTAAGGGGTGAAAATACGGATGGCAGTTTGTATGGGGAATTAAGTTAGGGACGAACCCAAGCGAAGCGAGGGTGAATCGCTAGTAATATATTAAAATCTCACTGTGTTTGAAGTCGCACTCCTCCGCAACGGTTCGATCGATTTTAATGTTTTTTTGTCTATTTGGTAGGTATGAGAACAGGTCGTAAAGTATTTTTCACCCTCCTACCCCTACCCCCCATTTTTTAATCGCAATTTTAATATTTTTGTATGAATAATATGCAAATAATTTAATATTATGTAAATACATAGGGACGAAGCCGAGCGAAGCGAGGGTGAGTTACTATATAACATAAAGGAAAAGATTTTATTGTAGATTGAACGCAGGCGAAGCTGCGGTTTCTGCTAGTATTTCAATAAAAACATTTTAACGTAGGAACGTTATAATTTTTTCTAGTAGATTTAAAGTTTGATACAATAAATACTTTTGTAAAATATATTTTACGCGTCGTTTTAAATATCATACATATTTTGTACCAAACGTTGCAGTATATATTTATCCAAAGTTGTACAATTAAATTACAAATACATAAAACAAAATTCGAAGAAAAATCTAATAAAAAGGGACTGCGGTTCCAAATCTACAAAATATGTTTCACAAACTCGATTTCTTTAAATATATCTGTCGGCAAAGAGTACAATGGCATGTCAAAGGTTGCCCTTACAAGTTTGGGTCTACTTATAAATTCATTCTCAAAGCAAATTCTTGTGGACTTAAATTCCTTATAAACAATGAAACAATTTGTTAAGTATATTATAGAGTTAAGTTTCCTTTCATTTTAACATCAAATATTGAATAGGTAGAATATTGAATTGAATGATTCAAATTAAAATAACGTAGATATTAAAATAACGATGAATCAACTTTATTAGATGTGAAATATAACGAAATAAAACACTAAACAATGTTTGTATCTCGTCAATATCTAGCGTTGGTATAGTGTTGTTTACACAAACGCTTAGATATTTGTTTTGATAATAATATCTATATATTCTTAGCGTCATATTTGCCTAGAGCCATTTCGTTTGTCTGAATATTTATAACTAGCATTAGCATATAACTCCGCCCGCTAAAGTGTCATAGAAAGATACTAGATTTAGATTAGTCCATATGACCTTACTCAATATATCGATCTAAATATAAATAAAATACTGTTCATTGGTAATTAGAATGGATGTAGATGTTCCTTTAGAAAAGAAGATAATTTTAGTCGTATCTTAATACCCACGCTACAACCTACATTCTACTACTCAATAAATTAATTCGTTCTGACTTATGATGTTATTATTCACTTTATACTGACGAGTCATTGGGCTAAAATGAGCTTTCCTATTAATCTTATTCACCCACTTAGAATAATATGGACGGAAATCAACACGTAGTTTTCATCTTGTTTCAAATTTACGTGTAGTTTCTTAAAAAATAAATACATTCGTGTGATGTTTTATACCTTTAATTGAGTTTATGATAGATAAAACCTTATTTCTCATAAAATAATAAAAAAATTGAAAGTAAAAGATTCAGGAGTGTCGTCATGACATAAATAAGTTTTTAAGTTCAAAAAACAGTAATGATGGCAGTATATCTTTAAAACTTGGCTTGTATATAGTACAAATATTAAAAAAATACGATACAACAAAACAATGAAAACTGGCAAACAACGAATTTGAAGAAAATCGTAGTTTTAACGACTACTTGATTTAAATAGAATAAAGGCGTAATACATACGCCTACATTATGTTGTGTACTGAATACTTGGTGTCTGATGTGTCTAACTTGCACTCAATCGCTTTTTATTAAAATAAGTGAGTTCTAAGAGAAAATATTATTCATATCTGTACGCCAATGCAGACCTTTATATATAATAAATGTTTTTTTTTCTAAACCTGGATTTGAAATATAATACAAATAATAGACACAGAAAATCTATGTAGCGCTGTGTGGCGCGGAGCTCAGATCCGTTACGTTGAGACAGAAATGGGGAAATTCAAATAAACGCCACATCCAGCTGAGAGGAATGGATTTAGATTTGCTTTGCGGAATGTGAACAAAAATTGTTTAATATCGACATTCGCTATAGAAAAGGAAGATACTCCATGCTTGTGAGTTGGGTACGTTTTTAAGCGTTATTATACAAAAAAAATATTATATTTGAAAGTATCTAGGTACTCGGATTTTGTCACAATTTCATGGTTTTTAATTTTTCAGAACCGTTTTCTGAAGCGTTTTTTTTTGGGAAATGCATTTAGGTACGAGGTGTGGGACTCACCGGCAAACTCAGTACTACCCACTAAGCCTCCTCCGTCTTAATGGGGCGTCGCAGGATCGCTTATGCACTCAACCACAACGCCCCACACACACACAGTCCACTCTGTTATCAGAGAAGTACCAGGAGCAATTAAAGAAAAGTAGCACACCGGGCAACGAGGTGGGCCGCCTCTCAGAGCGTTTCTAAGCTTCGGGCCCGGCTAGGCTGCCAGACACGACACTACTGAGACCCCCCCCCTCTCCCCGCCCACCTCCACGACTAGATGAAAGCACGTTGGGGGTTCTAAAGTAAACCTAGCCTATGTTACTTCTTATAACATCTGCTATGTGCCAGTGAAAGTCCCGTCGAAATCGGTCTAGCCGTTTCAGATAGTCGCCGGAACAAACAGGCAGACAAACAGGCAGGCAGACAGACAGTCAGACCGATAGACAGACAAAAATTTTAAAAATTGTTTTTGTTCTTTAATTTTACTATACCAGTTTATATAAGTACAATATAGTATTTGTTACCTATGTTGACATTATATTATTATGTTCTCTGAAAAAGTTCTTAACTACGTATTGTTACTATTGATCGATAAGTCTGAACAACTTGTTGAAACTATTATTATTAAGGTTTCATACTCTACTCAGTTCGAGCACTAGAAGACTCTTGTGTTATTATATGAGAATACCTACGGATTGAATGAAGTTTCTACAGGTGCATGAGTCGATTTTTGTTCAAGAAATTATGGTAGTTAATTTATTTCGTTAAACTAGTCTATATGAATATTAATTAAAATTAAATTAAATATTATTTCAAAATAGTTATTAAAAAAAATTAATATGTTTTTATTTATTTAATTTAGTTCCAAGGTAGTTTAACATTTTTTTCTATATACATATGTATGAATGGTAATAATACCTACACAAAAACATATAATATCCGAATATCTTGTTTCTGTTTGAAGCCGAAACTTTTGAGATACCAGCAATAAGCAGACAGGTAAAATATGCAGTAATCTCCGAGTGAAGCTAAAAACATAAAAATTATTATGTAAAATTGAATAAAAAAATAGCAACCAATTAATGTATAAATCAAACATTTTAATTTTTAGTAAAAACCGCTGTAACTTCATTTATTACATTCATATTAAAATTCTACAGAATTCTAAGTAATTTATCAAATGGAATAAAATTGAATGGCATTCGATAAAGTACCGCTGAAAAGCCGCTTTGCGTGGCGCCCGTGAATACAAGGGAGGGAGGGAAATGTTTGTGCAAAAGCTACGTACGAGTATGAGTAGAACGCTATTGTAAGGTGAAAGTTAAGGCAACCACGTGCAAAGT